TTTATATGTAAAGAATTAAAAAATTAAACTAAATGTTGTACCTATAATTTTGATGATTACAAAACACATCTGAGTGACTAATTGATTTATTTAAGTGTGTAGTTAAATTTCCAATATACTGCAAAGTAAGCAAAATGAGATTGCATTAAAAAGAGCTCAAAGGGTAAAAATATGCAGAGAGGCGGCTTAAAAAAATTGCAGCGAGCTCTGGGAAGCAAAAATGCAGAGAGCCGGTTGCAAATTTTGTTGAGCCGGCTCTACATGCTAGAAATTCAACTGCTGTTTTGGCGCATGCGGAAAATGGAATTAGAGCCGGCTCCCACTTTGTAGCCGACTGTGAAGGTGCATTTAATGCACAACAATCGAGTTATTTGAAGATTATTTAATATGTTTAAAGTTGGAATCCTAAAGCCGGCTCTAGGCTTTGCAACCGGCTGTGGAAGAAAACAAAATGTGCAGGAATCCTGTTGCAGAAATGGTGAGCCGGCTGTACAGAGCCGGCTCTCCTGACAATCCTGCAACTCGAGTTTTGCGTCCTACAAAGCATTAAATGACTCCCAACAGCTAGTAATAGCCATTTTCGACCATAGGGTTATAAATATAGTTGGTAGAAGATCTGGAGGTTAAGAGAGCATTGTATTGAATATCTTTACCTACCTACCTACATGAGCTTTAACTTGAGATTTTGATCTTTGAGAGATCTTTGTTTGTAATCCTCTTCTTGTTCTATTAGTGAGTGATCTTAGGGGTGTGTTGATTCCTTCAAGAGTGATCTGTAGAAAGGATCTTTGGGGTTTAAGTGTAAAGGGGTGAGATTTGAAAGAAACACCCTTCTTCTTGTAAAGGATTGAGTGGCTCCTTTAAGCCACCATTGTTTTTGTTAGTGGAGAGTGTGGAGGAAATCCTTGGTGAGTTGGACATAACCTCTATAAAATCATTGTGCAAGCTCTTCTTCTTCACTCTCTCTTTAATTTTTGTTTGGTGGTTACAAAGAGGTGAAAATTCTCCAACTCCAATTCACCCCCCTCTAGGAGTGCATTGAATCAACAATTAGTATCAGAGCAAGGGCTCCAATTTGAAGGTTTAACCAGCTAGGAGTTGATCGGGGATGGCTCAATTTCAATCTTTTCAACCACTTGAAGGTTTGTCTACCACTAAGCCTCCTTTCTTTGATGGTACTAATTATAATTATTGGAAGAATAGGATGAAGGGCTTCATGCTTGCAAATGTGCCCAAGGCATGGATTGTGACTATGAAAGGTCCATACGTGCCTATGAAAGTAGTTGGGGAAAGTGAGGTGCCAAAGGAAGAAGTTGAATGGAATGATGAAGACTTGGTGAAGATCATGATCAACAACAAAGCAATCAATATGCTTCAATGTGCTCTCAATCCGACGGAATTCCATAGAGTATCCGGATGTGATATGGCCAAGGAGATGTGGGACATGTTGGAGGTAACACATGAAAGAACAAGCCAAGTGAAGGAGTCAAAAATCAATAGACTCATTTACATGTATGAGATTTTCAAGATGAAACCGGAGGAGAGCATTCAAGATATGTATACAAGATTGAATGATATAGGCACCAATTTCAAGGATCTTGGTAAAGTCTATCCTTCTCAAGAAGTAGTGAGGAAGGTTCTTAGAAGCTTGCCCAAGAATTGGGAAGCCAAGAAGACCGCAATTGAAGAGTCCAAGGATCTCAACACCCTCAAGCTTGAAGATGTCATTGGAAAATTAATGACATGAGATAGAAGTTCAAGTTGATGGTGGAGTTGAAGTAGTTGAGAAGAAGAAGAAGAATGTTGCTTTCAACGCTAGCAACTAAAAGGAAGAGAGTGAAGATGATGCTAGTAATGATGAGTCTAGCAATGAGGAGGACATCACCAAATTGATTTCAAAGGAAGTGAAGAGATTCATGAAGAAGAACATCAAGAGCAAGCTTGCAAAAAGAGATGAAGGAAAGTCTAC